TTGGGGTTCAGCTTAGAAATCATTTTATCAGTTTGATGTTTCCAACGTGTTCGACTTTTGACCACCTAGACATCTTCCGAAGTGATTATTCCAATGATGAAGTCTACCAACGTGAAAGTAACCACGGCAAATGCCAGCTTCCTATACATATTGCAGTTCATCAATCTTCAATATCTGTAGTGAAACTAGATTTTTTTTTCTTTTGCCTTGAAAACAGGGTTGGGCATTGAGGTGTGCTTGACTAATAACTGGGTGAGGCAGAATTTGGAAATACAAATTTTCACTGAAGTATTTCAAATTAAGATTATTCACCAAGTAACCAGAATGGAAAGCACAGAACAGGGAAACAGGATTCACTTATGGAACTTGCTTTCAAAGTCTCACTTGGACTTTGCTTTCAGTGATTAAATTCAGAGTTTCTATTTAAAATCTAACTGTTCTCTCTTAAAAGTAACTTATTCAGAAATAGTTGATGATAGCAGGTTAATTACCTTGAATCTTCATACGGGAAAAACCAGCTGGGCAAACCATTATGCAACTACTTATTATGATTATTTGGTGACTCATTATCATGAAGACAATCTCATGCCATTTAAATCAACAGGATTCCAGTTCTTCATCAGAAAACTATCTATACACACACACACACACACACACACACACACACACACACAGTTTTCCTTCATTTCTGTACCTAAAGAGAGTAAATTATTGGGATTAACAGTGAAGCACAGAATAGTACAAGTGGAATATCATTAACGGGACGGAATCTGAACCTCTTTTAATTTCCCTTTTTGGCTGTCTTTTCCCACACTTGAGATGTGTTCTTCTCACCTCTGCCACACCCAGTAAAATACTCCCAGATATCAGAATTGCAAAATCCAGGAACAAAGCACAGCATGTGCAACAAGGCAAGCCAAGCTCATGGGAGAATTGTCTCAAAAATCAAGGACTCTGACCATCCAGACAGGTCCTCAGCCCGGTCTGTCAGGAATTTTAAATCCCGAACCCACTCTACAGAGATAAGATAGAGCAATCTTATCTCTGATAAGAGATAAGAGGCCTGTTTTTAAAACTCCACTACAGAAATAAGTGTAGCAGAGTGTGGAAACGAAGAGAGAATTCCAGAGGGAGCTAAGCGATCTGCTCTCACCCTGGCAGAGCCATGGGCAGCAGCAGTACCAGTTACATCCTTACTGTATAATTGTATGAAATGTCCTTGTTCAGAGTCATCGCCTTTTCATAGCAACTTAGATTTCAAAATTCTTTGAATTCCTGTTATGGTTTTACTGGTAATCCTTTGAATTTCTTTCTATATGAGGGAATTAAGTATTAGAGGGCTATTAGAAATGTTTACTTGTATCTTCCATCTAAATTAAAGTCAAGGTGTCAGGAGATCAGACAATTGCTTCTAAGGAGATGTCTTCCCCGAATGTGACAAGTTTCACTCATATCTATCTGCTTTATTTTATTTGAAGATTTGTGGGGTAGATGTGGAGGGTTAAATGATTAACTCGTGATTTAAACCATTTTTGCATTAAAGCAAGTATGGCCATATTTCAGATTAAACGTTTACACATGTACAAATTTAAGATAAAATATGGGGGTTATGCATTCATTTTCCTCTGCTTAGAGGAGTTGGGTGATTTAGACACAAGATGCATGAAATTAAAAAGGGGCCCTTCTTCCATGAATTTCTATTTCTGATCAAAAATATTCCATAGTATAACAAAAGCCAAAAGGATGGAATATGGTATATCTCTACCTATGTATGTTCTGTGTGAATATTATGTGTTCACCATGTGATTTTTTAGTAATACATATTTCAAAATATACTATATACAATTATAAAGACAGCATTCTATACATGAATTCTATATATGAATGATTCTAATGTTTAAAAAATTGTACTTCAGTTATCTGTAATTTCAAAAGCAGTGCATTTTAGAAAGACTAAATGAGTGCTTCAGAGAGATGCTACTGCGTTTTTATTTATGAGGCATTCTCCATCAGGCCACCAGAGCAAGACGGGACACTAATTCCAACCACACCCCTGGGATGATTTGGAAAATGGCTTATACCTGTGTTGTGTGTTTAATGACTCACATGGCCCAATCACAGAGAATTGCTCCAAAAGGCCATCCAATCATAAAAATTCAAAATGATGAGAACTGTGTTTCTCAAACATTATGCAGTGATTCATAGATCCTAGGTTTTTTGAATGCCTTTGTTTCTCTCTCCCATCCATTTGCTTCAGCTGCCTCTCTCACCCCACTCTCACTGAAGAACTAGCCTTCACTCAGGCCTCGTCCACATTTCTGGCCCTCGTTCTCCTTTAGTCCATACTTCTCCATTACACAATGACGCCCAAACCCCCTGGGATGGCACAGCCCTTCCTGCAGTATGGACAGGTAGAAGAGGTTGAGGGTCCCACAGCAGTACAAGGAGAAGAAGAGAAAGCCTGAGAATACTCAGATGGTAATAATACCTACTGTACTATTCCCTACTGCACCAAACAATACTACATCACTGTATTTCCTATCTATTATTACTGTTATTTACTAGCTGTGTGACCTTGAGAAAGTGACTTCACATTCCTATGCATCCATTTCTTCTCTGAATAATTAAATCCATATCAGAAGATCTAAGTGAGGTTTATATGAATTAATACGTGGAAACACTTTAAAAAGAGCATGCTTCTTAGCAAGCATGATCATCTTCTCTGGGTTTTGCCTACAGGTAAGCACTGTAGGCCATTTGTTTCACTCTGTAAATTTGGGTTGCAGTCTGATAGGCGAAGGGGAGCTGAGGCCAAGTGCCAAACTCCTCATTGAGCAGCCCTCTAACTAACCCCCCTGATTTACACCCTCCCTCCTTTTGCATTCCTACTCTTTCCAGCCAATTCCAAGCCTGGTACCTCTGGCACCTACCGAGCAGCACAGCTAGTTCTTCCCTAGCAGCCAACCTGAGTTTCTTCCGAGTGGCTTTACTGTGCTGTGACAACATCACTCATTTTCCATCTTTCAGAAATTTGACAAACTCTCCGGTTAGCTAGTAGATCCCTTTTTTAGTTATGGATTTATTTATTCCCCCCGGTACTTGTTTATTCTACATTTTGTTCTATATTTGTTGGAAGCAATTATTTAAGTGTCCACTCCACCATCTAGACTTAGAAGCTCCCTAGAATACAAACGACGTTTTTCTTCTAAGCTTAGGGTTCCTTATGCCCACAATAGTCTACATTCACTTATTTAGTTCATCCAACTAAAGGAATACTCTTTCAACTTAAAAAGTGTTATTATTTGGGCATAAAAAGGTTACCACAATATTAAGATTTTAGTCATTGTCTCTAGCCTTGAAAATCAATTTTAAAAACACACAAAATACGTATCATGTTACCTTTTTTCCTTTTCACAAGAATATTGAATAAATAAATGAGCAGATGCACACACAAACATACTGAATCGGAGAATATTGAAGGAAAAGGGATCATTTGCAATTATTTTATAGATGGATGAGGTTATGAGACCAGTGGGGAGGTGAACTTCTCGAGCCTGCATAGCTAACAAGAGCCAACATTGGAATGAGACTCAAATATGCCCTTTTCAGTCATGCCTAGAGAAACAAAACAAGTCGATTCAGCATTCACGTATATTACATTAATAGGACTGTCTTTCAGCAGTTTGTAGCAAAAATCAACCTAATTAAGTTATTATGACTTATATTCTCCCATTGTTTTCATTTCCTTAAAAAAAAAAAGGAAAGCTTATCAAACTCAGTCCAGCAGTACATGATTTTGAAGCTAAAAATAATTACACTCCATAGTTACCTTGTGTGACAACTAAAAGACCTTGACATATTACTTCTTTGTGACAACAGTAAATGGCACTTTGCATATCTGACTACTTATAGTGTGACTGTGAGATAATTGCTTGGGAACCTAGAATTGCTTATTTAAAGGGTGGGGACTCTTAATATAATTACAGAGCCAAAAACCACCTCAGCTTTACCATGGGAAATTCCTTACAATACATTGTTAGTCTTCAGATGGTTCCTCAGTCAAATTCTTCATTACTCTCCAGAATTCTCTGGAATGCTTCTGCTGTATTTATGACATAAAGGCATCTGTCTTGGTGAATGTGAACCAAGAAACAGAGGATCTCTACATGTGAACAAGGCTGAAAGAAGAGGAACATTTTAGCGAAAATAACATTTAGTGTGTCTTTGTCCCAAATGTTTCAGTTTGAAATGCTTCTGTTACATTAGATCACTGGTCTCAGGAAGTTGTATTTTCCCTAAATGTGCATCATTAGGATATAGTGTGTTATTTATTGAGCCAGGGAAGAGGACAGTTGCATGGGAAAAAAAATTTCAAAGACAAGAGTGTATGTCTTTGAGAACCTTGTATCTGAGTCATTTTTATATACAAGGGGGAGACCTGGTTTCTTAATCTCAAGATATCTATTATCTTCTTGAATTAGCTGTGCTATATTTTTAGAAGATGGCATTTTTAATATTGTCAGTTACCACTTCAAATCCTGTCAGTCACAAAATTAAAAAAAAAAAAAATGTGTGTATGTCAATAATCACCAAGACCACAGTCTTCTAAATTTATGATGAGAAACATTCACCTCTTATTTTGAAAAGCATAGGAAAAAATTTGTTGCCAAGGACCAAAGGGCTAACAGCACTAAGAAGAAATATGTCCCTTCTCCCACCATGCCACTCTGCAACCCTTCTTCACATTATAGGCAACATAATGGAATTAACCTGTGACACATGATAGGGAAAAACGACCAAATGGGAAAGCAGACAAGGGGAAAAGAAGAAGAGAAAGCTGGCTATCCCACCACCTAAATGAAGAAGATTACATCTCAAGGAGGAGGCAACTTTTCACTTTATGCAAATGTTTTTCCTACCCCACTCAAAGCATTTTTTAAAAATTCCCTTCCCCAGATTTGAAAAAAAATAAATAAATAAAAAGCCAAAGAACTGCAAACTAGAAACAAGATTAGAACACCTGGTTTATTGGGAAAAACTCATAATAGAAACCGTAATTGCTTGTTCTGCAACTTACCAAATAAAAATTTGATATATCATATGAATTGGTTTTCATTATGGAAGTACAAATGGTAAAAAAAAATAATAATCCATGTGATATATCATATATTTTCCATTCAAAGATTTCACATCCTTGAACTCTCCTGTTGATGTTTTATATCAGATATTTTAAATCTGTTTTATCCAGGAAGACCAGGTTTCAAACTACATTTAAGTTTTTGCTTACAGTTGCTATCAGAAGCTGTGTCTATATGATTAGAGCCCAGTCAAATGAGATGAAATATTCAAGCCATTCCTTCCCCTTAGGTTGTTTCAATGTTACTTTTGAGATAGGAATTGCCTTCCTAATGTTTTATTGCACAACCTAATCATATCTATCAGTCATGATGAATTAGACCCGGTCCATCTTTCAACTCAATCAACTTTGGTTCTGAACAGATAGACACAAAACAGTACAGATTACTATATCATTTTCCCATACCCCAACCCTAAAAACCACTTTAGAAGAGAAAACTTCCCTACATAAGGCTTTACTACTGCAACAGGTTTTCACCTTGAAAGAGTATATTCCTGAATGACATATATATAAAGTTAAAGTGATGCTTAGAAAAAAGTCAATTCTTTAGGCTATTAATTAGAAATTCTCACAAATAATATGCATTTAGAAAACTTTTGCTTCTTTAAGTAGCTGAAATCTGGAAAAAATATATATATTTTTTTAGAGTATTTGGTTACTGACATTTTTTACCAGTATTTCTCTCTTCTTTTAAAAGACACAGTCTATTTAACCTTGGAAAAACAGACATTTGATCAGATTATTTAAATCTTTGAAGCTTTCTCATTTTTATCTTATAAAATGGTAAGTTTCATATTCAGATTCTTGTACAAATTCAGTATAAATGGTATGGATAGATATTAAGGAATACTGGCATATTATAGGTAATTAATTAAAAGAAGTAGGTTTTGTTTATACAACACATATAAAAGATGAATATGAAACTCTAACATCATTTAAGAAATATTTTCTCCCAAATTATTTTGGTATTTTGACTAGTCCAATAATATAAACACTGCTCCCCAAAACAGGTTCCAAGTATTCCGGGGAGAATAGTTTCTTCTTCTGTAATACATTCTGGCAGCAGTGCCTTCCCCACCTCAGGCAGATGTGTAGAAATACCTGGGCTTCGCATTGCCCAGGAGGTCGTCTTCGTAGTTGGGGAGGCAGCAGAAGAAGAAGGCACAGCCGATCAGGATAATTGTGGCTGCCCACCCAAAGCCATAGGCCCAGTTATAGATGTAAGTGACAGCAGGGTTGAGATGAAGGTTGAAGGTCTGGGTGTACTTCACCGGGTAAATTACTAGGGAGATGATCTGGAACACAGCTAAAGGGAAGAAACAAAATCCCAAAGTATAAATGCGTGCATGCACGAATGAATGAATGCATGGAACAATAGATTAACTCCCTCTCCCACAATGTTTTTACCTTTAAACAAGTATTAAATCCACCTAAACAATGCTAATGAAAGGGGCTGGCGTACCTAGTTAATCATGAGTCAAAAAAAATTATTAAATTTTGTGTGTCAGAGATACCCGGCACTAAGCTGAATACTGAATATATGAAATATAGACAGAAAACAATTAGAGAATCACTCTATAGTCCCCGTGCAAGCGTTATATATACTGAAGTAAAAAGTGCAAAACTGTGGTAATAGAAAGCAGGATGGTAACAAAGAGTCTATTATTATTCATCTTTGTATTTCCTTTGTCAAAGGCATAGTTGGCAAAATTATATATAGATATATACACACAAACACGTGTGCGCGCACACACACACATCACTCTATATTCAAAAATACACCATTGGGATATTCATCCAATAAATGAATGACTAAATGAACCGATGATGCAAATGATCAATGTGGAAAATGACTAGAAAAGCTTGCTAAAAGAAGTGAGGAACTGAAGAATAAACAGAAACAGAGGGAGGGCACGGGTAAGAGCATTCCAGGCTCAGGGAAAAGAAATAAAAGAGAGGAACAGGACTTCGGGGAAGTGTAAGGGAGGTTCTAAATAAAAAAAAACATAAGTCAAGATTTCTAACCTCTTTGGTATGAGAGTCATATTATTACAATTATTATTAATCATATTCACATTTTAAGCAACTTTAAAAAATAGAAAGAACTTAATCTTTTACGGCCTTTTTCAATGAACATGCTTTATTTCTATAAAGTGATAATGAGTATGTACATGCTGTGCTATGTTCTGCATTTTTTGACTTCACATGTCACATATGCACTGCCATATCAAAGGGGTGAGCAGATTTTAGCTCTGTACATGACTCTCCACAAGGAGGGGTGGGCTGGGAGTGTACGGTCCTCACCACCACTTTTTCTTTCACTTTAATTTTTCTCTACTGGCTCCACAGATAAAACTCCTAAAGTACTTTCCTTTTTCTTTTCTTTTTTTTTTTTTTCCTTAATTGCTAGAAAGGCTGTAGATGTTGCCACATCTTGATCTGTTGCTTCTATTTCTCAACTCAAAATATTCTTCTCTGGCAATTTATAATGGGCAGTCTTGGTGCAGATCTGAAATATTTCTTTGCTGCTCGGATACCTTAAATGGCAAACTCTTATTAGTTAGGTTTGTCAGTTATTGGAAAATATCGTGTAAGTGAAAGTAATCCTTCTTTATGTTATTCTCTAATTTTGCCTAGTCATAAATGCTAACTATTGTGATTTACCCATTTTGGTTCATCATATATGAAGTTCTACTGGTTTGGATCAATTTCTGCAAAATCTAAATTGTATGAGTGCTTAATTTTTCTGATTCTAACCCAATAATATATGTAAAATTAAAAAAAAATTATTGCTGTGAAATATATCTTAAACATCAAGTAGGCCTAATTAAGTATTATTACCACTAAAAATGTATTGAGATTTCTAGGCTTTTTTTCTTCTCTAAACATTTCCCATTCTAATTGTCACACTCTAAAGGAGCACAGGAGTTTTAAATGGTAAAATAAGAACCCAGAACTGAGCAGGACCACTAAGCTGTTTATCTGCTGACGCTCACGACAACTAGTTTTCTTTACAACTTCTGCAGCCCGGTCAGTTCAAGATGGCCATTACCAGATCTTAATGTTTTAAGATGGACAAAAGAGTTATACAGGATTTTTTTTTTAATTGTGGCAAAATATACATAACATAATATTTATCGTTTTAACCATTTGTTAAGTATACAATTTAGTGGCCTTAAATACATTTACTATATTGTATAACCATCACTACTACCTATATCCGAAACTTTTCAACACTCCCAAAATAAATTCTATCCTCATTACACCCCCTTTGGCCCCCAGTAACCTCTAATCTACTTTCTGTCTCTATGAAATTTGTCTACTCCAGGTACTTCATATAAGTGAAATCATAAAATATTTGTCCTTCTGTATCTACCTTATTTCTCTTAGCATATTGTTTTCAAGGTCCATCCACATTGTAGCATCTATCAAAACTTCATTCCTTTTTATGGCTGAATAACATTCCGTTGTAATTTTATCAAATTGTGTTTATCCATTTATCTGTTGATGAACAACTTGGTTTTTTCCACTTTTTGGCTACTGTGAATAATGCTGCAGTTAACATGGGGATACAAATGTCTGTTCAAGTCCCTGCTTTCAGTTCTTTTGAGGACAGACCTAGAAGTAGAACTGCTGAATCATATGATATTTACTAGGTTTTTCAACAAACATTAATGTCCTAGTGCATATTTTTAATGGCGATGTAAACAAGCATTCATCTAGTCTTCTAAGACATGTGAGAGGAAGAGATATCAAATGTATTTCTTTGATAAGGTCTTATAAATTTGAACTAATAAAAGTCAAGTTCAATGAGGTGTGATTCCAAGTCACTTCTGATTTTAGAACATTATTCTAAAAACAAAATTTTTTTTTGAAACATGAAGAACAGTAGTATTTTAAAGAAGAGAAAGTTTTAAATGTACAGGAGGGGGCAAGGTCTGCCCTGGTTGGTTCCCCTCCCTCTCAGCCAGGGCCTTTCCGCCCCTCACTTGTCCTGCCCTCGGCTCTGCAAACAACTTTTCTAAGCTCAGGGAACCCAGCACAAAGTGGTCTCCCTCTGGGCTCATGCCTGACCTCGTGGATCCTTCTAGTCACAAGGCTTCTGCTCACTTTCTATTTGTACCCCAGGTCTGTAGCTGGATTTCTGCTTTGCTCTCATGAGCTTGAGCTGTTATTTTGAAAAATGACCTGTGACCTCACTTTGCCTTATTAGCCACCTTCTCCTTTCCCCTCCTCAGGAAATCCAGCTTTGCACCTAAAACCAGCTCTGTCGCTGGGGTCCTTCTCCTTTGCCAGATTCCGCTAGTGCCAGGTACCTGCCTAAAATTTCAAATAATTCTTGCCTAGATTCCTAGTTCTTGTATTCCATTAATAAATGTTCACTCTGAGCTGCACTCCCCTACATAAACTCAATTTCTGGTCCCCCAGCACTGTCGATGAGGCAATTCTAGTTCTGGCCTCTCCTGGGGAACCACCTTCCATTGCAGAAAACCCTTTATGTCCCACTACAAAACTCCTTCAACAAGTAAAATGGCTCTGGGACATTCCAGCCCCTCAGCATGGGGCTCACAGTAGACCAACGCTGGGCCCACTATGGAGACACTGCACTTCCAGGGCTTAGTCCTGGTCCCTTGGGGTGGGGTGGGGTCACTGGACATGAGGTCACCTACAAGAGTAGTATACAGAGTGACAACCTTCCTTGCTTGGATAGGGAGCATAGAGACACAGGAGGAAAGGGATCCAGGTCTTAAAACGCATCTCTCCTCTGTTAATTCTGCCCTGGGTGATACATTTTCTGAGAACAGATCAGGAACTGTAATTGTCAGGAATCTCCTTTGTGGTTTGGAAATTATTATAGTAATGTGCATGGAAGGTATGAATGAAGAACTGATGACACAAAGTCTTACCAGCCAGGGCCAGGAGGCCTCCAATCACTCTCAGGAAGACAAGCATTTGTGGTCCGCAGAGGGCAAAGAAGGAGAGGATGAAACAGATCACCAGGATGATAAAGCCACAGAAGAGCATGGCAGCAGCTGCCCTTCCCCACGCTGCGAGGAAAGAGAAACAGTCATTAGTAAGACAGACAAACCAAATTTAACATCACTTATCAAAGTATCAACACGATTTTTTTCTTTCTACTAATTATATATTTGTGTGGAAGGACAGTTTTTCTTTTGACAATACTCAAGCATCTCCATATTTCAAGCAGAGAATGGGCAGTTCCTATATAGGACATTAATATACTGATACGCAGTGATGCCTTCTCCCCTCGGTTTTTGATCAAATGTTTTATCTCTGAGATGAAAGTTAAACTTTATTAAACTGTTTCTCACTTAATAAACTGCCATATAAACTGATATATTTAAAGGGTTCACTCAAGTCCTAACACAACTCGACCATAATAAACATAAAGAGATTTTACAATCTCTTTAGGAAATGTTTCAAAAAACTTTAAAAGGTTTTTGGGTTTCATATCAATGGTTGGTTCTGTGTAGGAATAATCTTTGAAAACATAAACCAAAGAATAGGCAGAGATGTAAAATAAAAAAAATTTAATTGAAAAGTAGCTGTGATTTTTTTATAACACGTTCAGACAGGCCTAGATTTCTGTCTAAATTTGAACTTCTTAAGTATTCAGAATGTATTGCACAAGAGTTCTTAATTACTGATATCGGCCTTTAAAGCAATGAGGATGAGGTAGGAATTGAGTTCTAGGTCTGAGGATCACAGGGGCGCCTCCAGCCCTGTGTCATGCTACCCTGCACCTGCGGAAACTGGAAGAGCCATGAACTCAGGCTAAGCATTCTAGCCAATAATTCTTATTGTTCAATCTGCTCTGATTTTTAAGATCTCTTCACACAAGAGGTAATAGTAACATTTATGAAGAAATTGCTCTGTGCCAGGCACTGGACTAAGAACTTGACAGATCTAGTTCACTGAATCCTCACGACAATGTTTTAAGGTTCGTGCCATTATCATTTCTTTAGGAATGAGGCTACAGTAAGGTTTTGAGAGTTCAAATAACCTGTCATAGCCACACAGCTAGCAAGTGATTTAGGCAGAGTTTGATTTAGAGTCTGTCTGAATCCAAAACATCACTCTTTTTTTGAGATATAATTTATACACCATAAAATTCACCCTTTCCGAGTATACAATTCAGTGGTTTCTACTATATCCACGGGGTTGTACAATCATCACTACTAACAATACCAACATTTTCATCACCTGCCCCCGCCAAAAAAATCCATGTCCATTAGCAGTCAATTTCCATTCCTCCTTTCCTCCAGCTTCTGGCAACCACTAATCTACTTTCTGCCCCAATAAATTTGCCTATTCTGGACATTTCAAATAAATGGAATCATATACTATGTGGCTTTTTGTGACTGTCTTCTTTCATCTAGCATAATGTTTTCAAGGTGCATCTATGTTGTAGCACGGATCAGTACTTCATTCCCTTTTATAGCCAAAAAATATTCTATAGTATGGACATCCCCCATGTTGTTTATCCATTCATTCATTGATGGATGAACACGCACTCTTAACTTATTATTCTTTATTGCATTTGAAAAGGAGGGTCATGTGCACCTCTGCCCTGGTTTTACTCCTATTCTGACATAGCTCAGCTGATGAATTTACTCTCACTTAATTCTGGGTCATTTGATGGGTCAGAGTTAAAGATATGGGACAGCAGAAAGAGTAAGGTTTTGGAGCCAGCTGGACCTCATTTACAGCCTGCTTCTGGCTCCTATTAGTCACTGTGAGTTAGCATATCTGTTAACCAAGGCCAAAAATGCCTTATTTCAAGGTTATTGTAAGGATGAGAGTTTTTGTGTGAAAAGTCACGGAGCTCAAAAAGTTCCTCCTATATTCCTATGACTTTTCTCCAGTATCTCGTTTTCACTTTATTCTACATTCACAAGGTTCTGCATTGTCACATAAAGATTGTTTTTGTCATTCACTGCATTTTTGAATTTTAATCTGTTCTATCCAAACCTGAGCTAAGTTCCCTTCTCCAGCTCCTACCCTCCCTCCAGATCGTCCTCTAGATTCATGATTGCCTGGGGAATAACAGGTAATTAAGGAGAAGATACACTTTTGTATGCTCAAATATCACATTTCCACACAAATTACGTTCTAGTAACAACGGTCAGGCTGGGGCTGAGACAGTACATGAGTGGGCCTAGTTTTACATTTCTAATTTTTACTACTTTCCTCCAAATCATCTTCCTCTTCCTGTGAGATCAGTAAGAGATTTTAGGACCAGGTAAAAATAGAAATGTTTTCTTTTAAAAAGAAATGAATAAAGTCAAAAAGTGAAATCGAGTCTCTTCTCTAACTTTAGCTTTGTCCTTCAAATAAGGTAACTTTCAAGAAAAGAGGAATCGTGCTTTAAAAAGAACATTAATTCGACTGTCTCAAATTCTAGCCCATACACCACTGAGTCAAAATCATCAGTGGACATTATTAAAAATTCAGATTCTTATACCTCCCTCAGACCTACCGAATCAGAGCTGGAGGGGTAGTGTCTAGGAATCTGCATTTTACTGGTATTTCTTACACCCATACTAAAGTTTGAGAACTAAGGTAGATGATTAACCTCCTTATAAAAACAGATGCAGCACTGCCCAGAAGAGCATATAACTTTCAGTATGTGCCAGCCCTTGCCAATTATACTCTCCTTTCTATAGATTTTTTTTATAGCTACAGCCAATCATTAAATTCAATTAAATCTAATCATTAATTCAAATAGGCAAACACTGATTTTTCCTTTTGAGTTCATAGGTTTGAAACTGTGCAGTGAAAGGCAACATACCTGTATAAATATGCAGAGGAATAGAAACATTATGAAAATAAATTGCATAGCAGAATCTGAGTTTCCAATAAGAACAGAAAAAATCCTAACAAAGAACTTATTTCAATAACCAAACTTTGCTATCACAGATTAAGATTTTAAATGTATAGCTAAATAAATTATGTATGATATTGCTATAAAGAGTAATTATCAATAATCTTACCTGTCTATTTGATAAAGAATAATATGTTAATTATGGCTATTGTTACTTTTTTCTAACATTATAGCTGAGGCGTGATTTATGCTTAGTTTAAGGTATTTGAAAAGAATTAAAATAAATAGTAAGTGAACTCACCTAACCTAAAGCTAGGAAGTAAACATAAATACAAACACAGACCATTTTAAGAACTTTTTCTAGGTTGTGTTAAATCAGCGCAGTTAATGTCTTATTTAAAATGCTGTGAGTCATCAAAGTGGAGAATTAAGAGCATTTTGTCTTGACAAAGGCTGCCTTGCAAGTAGACCTGTAAAACCTGCTCCTCATCATGGAAACACCCACACTGACTTGTGTAACTATCACTTAGGACAACTCTTGGCATGGTTGTGAAGATTCTATTCTGACTGATGAATGACAGGTAAGGCAAGTTCCTTCTCATGGCAATGAACATTTTGCTATAAAACAATGAGATGGAACCTACCATCTGAGCGTGGTCTCCTAGGCCAATATTCTCTCTGAGAAGGGGACCGAAAGCCATGTAGACTCAGGACATGACAATTCCCCATGACATACATTTTGAGAAGTTAAGTCTATACCCTAAATACCTTTGGTCTCACTTCGTTACCCAGAATGAGCCTAATATCTACAAATTTACCCAGCTCTTTGGGGAACTATTTCTATTTTTATATTATACTATGTTCTAAACTATACCACATTTACCAACTCTAATGGAAAACATCAATTTTTTAAAAGTTGTCTTAAAGCTACTTCTTCCATGTTTCAACAGACAGCCCTCAGTTCTTCAGGGGCAGCCTGTCCTTGATCTATTCTGAAGATGAGTCTGTCTTTCATTATTATTTTATGCACTTTAAATTTTATTGCCTTTCCTAATTGTGTTTGTGTATGTGTAGGGGAGTGGGCAGGATTCTCATTGTCAATTATCATTCTCTGGATTGAGGCCACAAAAGCATACAGTATGCCAGGTAAACAGTTTCTGTGTAGGAAAGCTTTTTGTTTGCTTTGTTTCCTTAAGGGAAGATAAATTTGGCGTTTTATAGACATAATTTATTATGTCCTAAGTTTATTTTCTAAATACCACTTGGAGAAGCTCATGTTATAAAAGAAACCAGCAGAATTATAAATCCACTTTTAAATAAGATTCATTAAAGATCCATTTAGATGAAGAATGGTTTATCAAATTTTACTCTGTCTTTGCAGATTCAACATTAAATCAACAACATGGAAACTATTCAATGGTCACCGATGACATTCTGAGTTTTTTCTAGGAAATGTTTTGAAGTTTTTTTGTATGAAGATGAATGTTATATCTTTTTCCAGAGATTACATACCAAAATACAATGTTATAAGGCAAATACAGCTAGAAAATGACCAGTAAGGTCAACTGTTAAGAAAAGAGCAAAAAAAGGATTCATTTATTAATACCAAAGGCCCCACCTAGTGAATCTGAGATTTTGTCAGGTTTTTTCATATTGTTTCTATCGGGTTCTTTAATGTGAACCCTAATCATGTTGTTTTTAAAGGGTTCTTTATATTCTACATGAGCAGAACTGAAAACTAGTTAAAACCATAATTGAAAAAATAAAGATCCCACTACGAATAAATATAAGCATAAGTGCATAATAAATTCAAAAAGACTGCTGCATGTTCAATGAGTAGGTAATCTGCAGGAATACAGGTCAGTGCTTCTGAAACTTAAAAGTGCTCACTAATCACCTGTGGATCTCGTTCAAATACAGATTCCGATTCAGTAGGTGGACCTGAGACACTGAGTGTCCAATAACCTCCCAGGTAACTCTGATGCTGCTGGTCTGCAATACGTTGAGTAGCAGGTATCTATCTACAGGACAAGTCCTAACAGGCCTCCAAAACAATCTACATAGAAAAAAGCAATTTTGCGGAAGTTGTGGAAAGCAGAAGGGGTGGCTTAAAGGAGGAATGGCGCAGTCTCAAAGCAGAGTACTCCATAATTGTGGGATTCTTTACATGCTCTGTATTTTCTCCTGAAACGGAGCCAGATGATAACTTTTTACTGTGGTGTTTTAATAGAACCATGATACTCCTGGAGGGTCGTCTTTTAAAGTCTGAGTGGGAAAACCATCCTACACAGGAAGATGTGAAAACAGAAATCACACAAGATAAACAGCAGCAGCGAATTTAGGACCTACCCTTAAATATTTAAAAGTCTGTCAGATAGAAGAAGGTTGGAAAGTAGAATTTACAAGGCAGCACATTTCGGCTCTATCAGTAGAAGAAGGTATGAGAGAAGTACTGTTTTAACCAAGAAGTACTTTTAAACAAGTAGCATTGAGAGAGAATGGAATTAAGTTGCTGAACAATAGGAAGCAGCTCAGCTCAGTCATGGGGGGTGTTGAGAGCATTTGGCAAAGGCTTGAATAGGTACACTCTCATTCCTTTCTAATTCTAAAATCTAGGACTCTGTGTCTTTACTGGGGTGGTTAATGCTAACTGCAGCAGATGTGGTATAAACTGCACTATGTACCTGGTTCCTAGACTTCTAGATTTCATGGCAATACACACACACACACACACACACATATTTTTTTAACTATGAAAATGAACTGAGAGTGGCCAACTTTTTATTTTGCTATGTAAGGAAGTGAACACATGCCCATAAAGAGTAATCTACCTACTAATGCCTAATTTCATAAAACAAGAATATTTTAATACCTCACCCTGCCCCCTGCCAAAAGCCACAAGAGCATAATCTCAAAATGAAGTCCTTTATGTTGAATTTAGCCTAATATAAATCTATTAACTTCATACTTATTTTTCTAATTTCTTGTACATTTAAAAACCGTAAAGTAAATGACCTAAAAATAGTTCATATACTACTCTGATTCACTGAGTTACCTAAGGCTGATTTCATATTTAAAAAAAACCATTCAGTGCATTCTGTGGTCTCAACGGCTATCTTTGGTAAAAACGAAGCTCTGCTCTTCTGTCCAGATCCAAGGCAAAAGCTCTTCGACACTAACCTCCCCCTCCGCCCCCACTTTCATTCTTGGTGCATAAACTCATCTCCATTATTCTCCACCCTGACAAGCTGGAGCTTGCTTGGGATTTGAAATTAACATCTCCTGTTGTATTTTGTCTTAAAACTGGAAGAGAAACTGCCAAGAGTGCAAAAATAGCACACGTCAACATGCCTTCAAATTTAATTCTGCATGTTATGTATACATGAAACTGAATGACCATTTCAATATTTAAGTCTAGATTTTCTTTTCTTGTTTTGAGGAATAGAAGCCATGATGTTTAATAAATTCAAACAAGAATTTATTTGAATTCTTTATTTGTAAAGATTAGTATTTATTTAGTTGTTACTATCATGAAAATAATATATTTAGCCATGTAATTTGGTTCATTTATAGGAAAAAAATGAGGTGATATGGTAATCTGAAATTATTTTAAAACTGTTAATAATAGTGACGATATATAATATTTTGCTTTTTACATTAATATTAATGTAAAAAAGAAACTACTTTTATTTTTTTTTAAAAAGTCTATATCATTTAGTATTATTGCCAATACTTGCCAGGAATAACCTGTATCATTACCAAAATTAATGTATTAATGTTATGAATGTCAATAAAAGAGATGGTCAAGCACTTTGTAATAAAAAGGTAAACTTTCTTAATAGTTACAATGGTAGATCACAATGTTTATTTTCTAGAACATATCAAGAAGTTTTCAAAAAATAGATGTACCAGCTCAACTCTCTCTATTGAGATATCATTTTAATTAGAGCTGTCAACTTTACTCCTTGTTGTGTTTATACATATGCGGGAGTCTGTGTAAACTGCTTACCACATTTTAGGTAAAGTAGTGTAAACATTTTGTTTTCAGCAAGGCCTTATTGAGGCTATCTGAAAATCTCCAGGGATCAGAGATGCCTAGATCATCACCCTACAGTGTAGAAATACACAACTGCTACACTTGTGACGCAAAACTAAGTAACAGTCCATGTCAGGAGATGGAGCGTAAGTGTGATAAACACTCCAACTCATCTTTGACTTAAAATAGCCTGAGATAGACCTCTCCTGGTGAATGCCTATCTATTTTCTCCTTCCGATGGTCTCCTAGTGACAGTGGATTCTGTTGTCATGATTTGATTCTAGGTCCTGAGCTAAAGCCACATCTAACACATTACTGGCACTTAATTATCTTTGCAAAAGTCGCGGGAATAACTACACTGGGGTGTGAAGGCCACTGCTCATTTATGAAAATCAGTCTTGCTGCATCACCTGGAAAACTGAACTTTTCCAAAGACCAATTTCTCGACCAACTTCACACACATACACTAATTAAAAAATTAAACTGAGAAACAAAACCTGCTGTCTCCCTTCCATATACAAAGCACTATGTCAGTCTGAGGTTGGAAGAGCCACACCCTAGAAAGGTGAGCTCATCCTGCAAGTCAAGAAAAATAAAAACTGCATTGTGCATGTTTCACAAGAGGGCTGTGGTGACAGCCAGAGCCTTGCACGCTAGATCACGTCCCAGCAGCAGTGGGGATCCTGGTTCTGCCAGCAGCCCTATTCCTTCTCAGCACTAACTAACCTCCTTCTTACTCAATATGTGAAAGATTGCTAAGTGTTCTTTGGGTCTGTTAGTCTTTGGCGTGAAGTATGATTATCAAAGTCTGTTTAAAAACACATCTACTTAAGCAGATCTATAAGTCCCCTACAGGATACTGAATTCCAATGCATTTTAACTAGAAGATACAGATATATTATTTCAAATAAATCAATTCCGTTTAAAAATCTAAAGGCCTGAGTTAGTACAAACCCTAGCGGGCGAGCTGTTTGTGTTTTAAGAAAGGAAAAACACAGACTTTAAGGAAATCAGGAATTCCATTCAGTCTTTACATTTTATTACCAGCTAATGAGGACCATGCCTCCTTTTGGGGGGAAGTTAACCGTGAGAACTTCCAAACTATTCCACAGTCCTTAGGAATCAGCGACAAGTCCCTGATAGAGGGCCCCAGAAATAAACAGTTTGTGAAAACCCGGGGCCATTTCAGGGGCAGGGGTTGAGAATCAAGTCAATAGTCCCAAGCGGGAATAAAAAGAGGCAGGGTGGCTTCGGTTTAGAACTATTAAACTCCGTTGGTAAGGTCCCACTGAGAAGTATTTGGCTTTAAGCTTCTTATAATGATCATACTTAAATAACACTCCTCGCCTGCACCCCGCCCTCCCCACACACATACACACCGCTAATCACAACAGACAGACCCCACTGTCCTTCACATCTACTAGTTAGCAGGGGCCGCCATCAGATAAAACGACGCTCGCCTCCAGTCAGGGTTTTAACAAGTTAAGCACTGAAGCTTCCTCCATGCTGGAAAAATAAAATATTCCGTCCGCAATATATCACATGTCAACTCTGCTTCATTTCATTGATGTAGAAGATATGTTTGCTTTTTGATTTCAAATCAGATTAAAATAAAATTTTTCTAAACAACAAGGCCGTGCTTAAACCAGAAAGACACCCCCAAGACAAAAGTAAACAAGAGCTAGGCTGACGCAGTAAACGCTACAGTATCGACTGAAATTGTAGCTGCTGTTATTTGGACTGAGAACTATTTTAATGGAGGAATTAATTTTAATGCTTTCACTTAGTTCAGTTTAACGAATAATACATCTACATTAGGGAAGGCATGTATTTTAATACTTAAATTTTAATCGTAAGAAGAACCAGAGGAGGCAGAATGGGAAGAAATTTCAGTAGGTCTCCAAAAAAATACTCTGTTTATTATATCAACTTACCAAACCTTTTCAAATGGCTGAAATCACCTTTTGCATATTAACTTACAAACTCTACCAAAAAACAGCGAACCAGGGCCATTTTCTTCCAGCGTTGAGCCTGGTTTTGGCCACCCAAAGCTGGTGCTTTTTGTTCAGGTCGGAGGCATGAAGCTAAGCTCTAGATCGATTATTATTATTTATTTATTTTGAATGACTCATTATCCCAGACCCTGTCTAGTCCTTTCATACAAGGAGGCTTCCGAAAGCCGCGCACTCCCAGGGCGCGGGTGCACGCCCGGCCGCGGCCCAGAGGACTTCCTGGAGGCAGCGGCGGGCGGAGGCACTCACCGTAGTCCATGAGGCTCTCGCAGCCATCCGCGGCGGACCCGCTGCCGCCGCCCTCGTGGAAGCATCGCCACCACAGCGAGGACGTCTGGATGTGGTCGCTCGACTGCAGCCAGCCGCGGCCGGCCAGCGCGATAATGTCGAAAGCGATGGCGCTGAGCAGGAGCAGGGGCAGGATCCACCTGCAGCGCTCGCAGGCCAGGCCGCAGCGCAGCATCTCGACGGGGGCGGCGCGGAGGAGAGGAGCGCGCGGGGCTCGGACGCCGGCGGAGAGTGGCCCGCGAGCGCGGACAGGGCGACAAAAGGG